GTGATGAAAAGAGAGAGACGCACGACGAGAGGGTGAGTGTGCACCGTGGCTGCTTCTCTTTCCTTGCGAAGGCAGTGCGCTGCGTGCGGGGGTGTTCTCTTGGGGCCCGGCGCCGTCATCCGCAACGGCGCGGCACGGGGTGGGCGACTCCTTTTGGCGGCGGCTAGGGTGTTTTTTGTTTCCCTTTTATGCTCTGCCGCTGCCGGGTGTTGTGGAGGCGTGAGGGCGCAACCGCGGGGTGGGTGTTTGAGTTGAGTGCTTTGTGTTGGTTGGGGGCCGAGGCTCGCCCAGCCCGCCGCGCATCCCGCGCCCAAGGCCCCTGCGCATGGGCGCGCCTGCTGCGTACCCCTCCGCGGCGGTAGCGACACTTAGTGCGCCACCGGCACCGCCGTGTAGCCTCGACGTGGCCGCGCCGCCCTAGCAGCGCACGCCGACACGCTGGCCCCGACCGCGGCAGAGTCTGGGGTGTTCTGGAAGCGCCCTGTTCCCCGCCCCTCCGCCACCCAGACCGCCGCCGACCAGTCTTGACCTGGAACGGTGCAGGGCCACAAGTCGGTTTCGTTCAGTCTCGAGCAACAATCTGCGGCCCATGTCGCAATTTGGCCGATACTGCCGTGGCGCGAATTCGCAATCTGGCACCCGCGGGGGTCGGAAACGCCGCGCCGAATCGGCCCCACGCGGGCCGTGCCTTTTCGCGCCGCGTGCCCGCACTTCGCCCGCATGCCCGCGCTCCTCCCAAGCACAAACCACCCTTATATCTCTCTCATCAGGGCGGCCCGCGGTCGTTCAGGGGGCGCCCACCTCGTCTCCCCCGCCCCTGCGGCAGGCTTCGTTTGGGGGCAGCGCGGCGAGCAACGCCCCACCCCCGCCCCATCGCGTCGCAAAAAAAAACCCCTTCTGTGTGCGCGGAGGCCTGCAGGAACATCTCCCTGGCCGATGCAGGGTAGCGGAGAGAGGGCGCCGCTCGGGCGCTCGTGTCGGACGGGGGCGCCCCGCCCGCAGCTAGGCCGCTGGCGACTTCCTCGGCGCGACTCAAGTTCGCATTGCGAACAGCCTCGCAGCGCCCCCTATCTTTTTCAGCGCGGCGCGCACCAGGGACACCGCCGCCGCGGGGGCCGCTTGCGTCTCCCAGCTCTGTTGGGCGGCCGTTCAACTGGGCGGTGGGCGCGGGTTGGATGCTGACCGCCGCCGGGCTCCAACCGCGCCCTTCCCCAACCACCCCACTGCCGCCAAAAACGGTCGCGGGACGCCCCTCGGTGGCGCAAGGGCCTCCCTTGTGCCCCCCCAGACGCCACTTTCCCTTTGCCTTTCAAGGCGCAAACGCGAGTTGCAGCTCAGGGCTGGCCAAGAAAAAAAAAAAGAGAAAGAGAAACAAGGCGCGCGCAGGCACAGCCCCACACAGCCACAGCACGAGCGAGCCGCCCAAACGGCGCGGTGCACACGCAAGGGGGCCACCGCAACAGCAGGTGGGCGCCCCACGCGCCGCACCATGTCGGGGAGAGCCAGCGATAGCAGCAACGCGGTGGGTGCGAAGGGCTGCTGCCCATGCGCCCCGCCTGCCACCACCTTAAACAGGTGCAAACAACGCCACCTCGCGCACGCCCGCCGCAGGAAAGGATGGGCGCACCGTTACCCTGTGCAAACGCACGCGCACACACGCACACACAAACACAAGCAGCGAGGATAGCTTCAATGCCGCTGGGCGGTCCGTTTGAAGCGCAGGGCGAAGGCAACTGGGATGGTGCTTCTCTTCTCGCATTGCGTTCGCCTCCCCGATCCCCATGCCTTTGCCCGCCTGCGATGAAAGGGCGGCCCCGTTGCCAGTGGCGTTTCCCGCCGCAGCCTGCTTAGACAAGAGAAAAGGCAGAGCCCCAACGCCTGCGCACCCGCAA